ATTACAAAGAGATCAGTGGCTTTAGGAATGTAGTATCCCGGTAAGATAGCATCGGTGGACACCCATCTTGGTCCTTATTCTTTATTTTCTTTTCTTTCTTTGCCATCCTTTTACCCTTGCTCAGGTCCAGCTTGGGACTACTTCGTTGAACAATCACATGGATGATGGCTGATGGTGTCACAGATATTGCGAGTTATATGTCCCATATGTATCAGATATCACATGTACCAGGAAATTTTATAGGGCAGGGGATGTTTTCCGTTGCTACCGCCACATGGGGCATGTCCTGTGTATTCCTGTTTTGGACCGAAGAAGGGCTAGACGGCGATCCGAAGCGGCCAAAAGTACAGGGCTGGAATTCACAAGGACCCAATTGTGTCTGGAAGCCTTCCGGCAAGCCGGTCGACGATGGCCTTAGCAGACGACCTAGTAATGATTCTAATCAGCCACTGAGCGCCATTGACCAAAAGAGGTACTGGACGTCAGCCCTAGATGTGCTAACCCCACAAGTAGCCGGGGGTATTTTTCGCCGCGGGCGTGTAGAAGTGTAGTAGCTATCCCGGTACTTGGTAACTGTGCCTTTGACCCAGAACCGGGGTTTAGGTATAGGCTATGGGTCGTGTAACCTGAAGACAAAACAAACTTCAGTAGAATTTCCCTGTTTTCGCCGAGCTTGTTAGGAGGCTAATGAATAAAGTAATATCCAGGGGGCAATGCAAACAAGGGGGAAAGCCTCGTTGCGTTCAATTATTGAAGCAGCGAGAGGTAGTCCCCTTAATGGATTGAAATACGGGCTGGAGTGCTCGGTTGTGCTGGCGATGTGAGGACCATCAGGGGATCTCGACCATCGCAGCTTTCATTGATTTTTCTTCACTAATGGATTGATCTGAGACAGTGATGATCCTAGCATCAGACGATTCGTTACTAGAAGAAAGGAAGGCATAAAAAAAATATGAATACCTATAGCCACATGTGCCATTCAATTAAATTAAGTGTGAAATGAATTGGGGATCGATTCTCAGGCTCTGAGCCTTGGTGTTGCTGAGATTGAAGGGAAAAATGAGGCGAGAGAGTGAGGCGGGAAACCGACCATCTACGGTCACCTGATCTGAACATCCCTCATTCAGCAGGAGCAGAACAGAAACTCCAAAATGAAATTAAGGGAAGTAATCGAATGTGTCTGTGAGTGCTAGGTCAAAACCATAAGGAGACAAAGTTCTCAAAGCTATGGCGTGCCCAATATATCCAAGTTCTCTAGCTCTGTAACCTTGGACAAGCCCGCGACATATCTTGTCTAGATTGACACCATGTGTCGATCATCAATGCAGTGCAAACACAGCTGAGCTGACACCTATTTTTAAACCCAGACCCTCTGAAAAAGAATAAAATTCTCGCGAGAACTATAGAAAATCCCGACAGCCCGGTTCCAGATATGAGACTATTACTTCTACAATGCCTCTGCCAAGAATAGTGAAGACGGCCACCAGGACAAGGCATATCCTTGTCTTTGTGGTTTGGGCAATGTTAAGATGGCCCAGACATAGTCTAGGGTTTCCAGTCTCACTGACTGCATATAGCCATCATTGTGACCATATGCGAGAGATATATCAAATCTCTGAGATAATCGCTGTGATTTGTAGCCTTGAGACCGACAGCGTTCTCTTAGCGCGATAAGCCAGATGAAAGACCTTGCCTCCCAGAATCAGCCTTGCAACTTGATGTTTCTGGGGGAAGGAGGAGCTATTCTTTGGCATCCCTAGAATCATGTTACAACGCACCACTCTCTAGGAAGCCCAGTGCTCAAGTTCGAACCAAACAGACTGTTTGGTTTGATCAAAGTAGCATAGGATAACCCAAAAAGTATTCGTTTGAAACCCAGTGTCTCTGATCAGGTAAAGTACTACCTATCAGCGGCTTCATTTGGTTGTTGGAATACTATGGCGCGGGATGAGCTTTGTGGTAGAACATGCAGTATTCCGAAGGAAAAGCGAACAAACTCTTGCTATATCTTTCGTCTTGTTCACACGGATATTTTCCTCGTGACAATCTACCTTAGATATGGAGTAAATTATGATACTGATTCTCAAGGCATGTTGTGCAATCATATTGAAAGGAAGGCAAGGTTAAAAGCAAGGCGCGCAAACATGTCTGAGGCCGAGGGATGCAACATTTTGGGTCAGTGCCCAGGGTTATGCAGCACCAGCCATACCTTCCCTTTTCTTGCGCCTCCCACAAACCGCAAGACCATTCTCCACTGAAGTGAGTGTAACTCCCAGTACATGACCTGGACGGCGCATATCTCATATTGTTACCAGGATGACTATCCCTTGCTTGTTATTCAATGAGGCTTCAATCAGATGGCACCCGTCTTGATGCATCTATATCAATCCCAACCCTTCACTCGATCATTTGAAAACGCTCATGCATCTGCCATACAAGCCACAAAATACGTTGGTCTCAAAGCGTTGCTTCAACTTTTCGCAGGCACGGTGTTATTCTTTATTGTTTCGGTTTTCTTCTGGAAAATTGCGAAGTTCTGTCGGTTCATCACCCAGGGTAAAGTGCTCAAGCAAGGAAACAAAACTACTACACGCTATAGCAGGACTTGGTATGGCTGGGTCTCAGCAAAACGACATGAGAAGAACAAAGTGCTAGCACGGAGATGTCTGCAAAAGCTTCAAGATTGCGCAGTCTGGAGATCACCGAGCGATGACTATCGCAGGATTTGGTGGGATCCTGGACAGAAAATGCAAAATAGGTTTTGCGAAGAAAGGAGAAATCTGCGATGGCTACCGACCTGGTTTAAAAGCTATAGCTACATTGCGGCTGATACTATATGGAACCCAGGGCCCCCTCCTCGCCACAGTAACACTACTACGTCGGACGTTTGCAGTGGATATGCTTCTCTCCGAGCTATGACCGGGGCGCTTTCAAGAAGTCACACACCTAGATCCATAACAAGTCGAACAATCTACTATGCGCTTGGAGGAAGCAATGTTACGAGCTCGTATAGCCAATTGTTCTTTCAGCGTGGCTATCAGCGAGCGTCAACGCGAGGCAAGGCAAGACAAAGTCGCCAGTATCGAACCGAATGCACAAGAGAGTACAGGTTTCAGCGAGAGCACCTCAAATATGCAAGCAAAAAAGACATACTTCAACGCCAGTCGCGCCATACATCTTGCAGCACTCTGATGCGCTTAGGATTTGCAGGTCGTGGCACAGGAGATATACGCAGTCTTTCGCTTCCATGCCTCTTCAGCCAGAATTATGAGAGTTCGATCGCCTCCCATGCACCACACTGTGCCAAGGCGAGTTTTCCAGAAGGCAGAATGAAGACAATGAAAAGGCTCCGAGAATTCCGTAAGCATCAAGTCTGGTCTGCTCGGATGTCACTGCAACCGTCCAATTATACAAAGCTTCTAGGACCACCGGCCGGGACTCCGCGATTTGGGCTCTCTGCCACCAGTTCATCCGATCAGACACCTCTACTGATCCTAACCCAATCAAGGCGCAAAGAAGCTCTCTCGACAAAATCCAGCACACTGATTCCTAACAATTCTAGCAAGCATAATCATGTCAAAAATGTGGAAGCAGCGGGGTGTGTTAATCATATTGCTGGTTTAGCTGTGCAATACTCTGCAGCCCCTGCATGTGGTAGGTCAAGCTTACCATGTCGTCTGGAGGCCCGCCATCGTACAGGATTAGGCTTGGAAGAAGAAAGAAATATAGACTGTTGCACGCGACAGAAGGAGCCACTGTGCATATATCGCTCTAGAACAAAGGAGTCCCGGGAGAGGAGAAAGCAGAAATTGACAGGACTTTTGGTAGAAAATGTCCCTATCAGTGAGCTGAGTAGTTGGGAGCTACAGTTCATAGATGGGCTGGACCGGAGACTGGAATGGCTCTACAACCAGCTCTGCCCAGGCCGGAGACCTTACCATTTCGCGCTGCTTGCGAACCACTGGCTCAATAAAGAAACCTGGCTGGTAATCGACCCACCTACGCGAATATCTATCGACGCTAGAAGGCGACTAGGAGATCCAAGATTCAACTTGCCATATCCAAAGCCTGACTGGAGCGCGAAACCAAAGTACCCAAGGGTGCCACGCAAAGCAGTTTACACTCCTAGAATCAATTCATGGAGGCTAGCTGTTAACAAACACCGAAAAGCGTCTGGACTACGTGACTTGGTCAAGACAATCAGATTCTACCCCGATTCGACGGATGATCCACCAGATGGGAAGGTTGACCCATCATGCTGGATGCTTCGCAGACCCCCGCAAGGACCGTTCATGTCAGCCCGACAAGGAAATGTGTATTATGAAGGGGGGGCAGGCTGGCAAGAGACATTCGATGATTGGCAAAAGATCGGCCATGGTCATCTGATTCGGAAAGCCACCCATGAAGGCAGGGTCAACAGAACAAGAGCAAAAGAAGTTGCAGGAGCAATTAGCCGGTATTTTCATATGGCAACAGCAAAAGGCTCTTGATCTGCAAACGACACATGTCTGGTCCGCTGACAGCACAGCACGTTTTGGGCAGAAATTGCGTGGTTGCTCTGCAAACAGTTCGAATATGTCTAGGGCGGTTATATATCTGTGTAAAAGGATGATGTACGGGACAGATAACATGATGCAGCCTCTTTATGGTCTATCTGTATTGTTATGCTGCCTTCAGGCGCTTCCATCGGTTCCCAACGACCGCCTATCCTTACGAATCTGAAAGATGCCATCAAGTGCCAAGTCTCTGAAATCGAATTGAATCCTGTGCCTTAGGCCTGAATAAAGAACATGATAAATAGCGAGGCGAACAATGCAGTCATGGTGTCATTCCCCAGTTGCCGAAAACTCCGGTAATCCTTTCCGTGCCTTCAACGACGCTTGTTGTAGAGCATCGTCGGCAGACACAGCGTGTGGTGTATAGTACAGTTGAATAATGCAGGTACAAATATGTAAAAGGCGATTGCCAGCTTCCCAACACACTCTGCGTGTATAAGCTGTTTAGAAACCCGGGGGGTTCACTCTCTGGCTGACACGGGTCCACTTCGGTAGCTCTGTAAGAGACATAGCATTAGCACACAAACTCAAACTTCGGACGGTCTCCCCTTTGGTTGAGACTCTCAAATGGGGACGCGGCAGCCCATCGACGCAGAAAGGTCCAAGGTCATAACGTACTGTGAATGCCCTTGCGGTACTTCTTCTCCTTCTTGTCAAACAGTGTGTACTTGTCCTTGGGCAGCATCTCCTCCTCGCGAGGCATTTCCCTGTACCAGCGCTCGACGGCCTTGGTGGTGTATCCATTGCGCTCCAGCGCGGCGGAGACAGTGTCGACAACCCGATCAACGCCACGGAGGCGCTTCCTCTGACGAGCCTTCTGGGGTTGGGAGAGGCGCCACGGAATCTTCCTATTCGATTGACGAGTGATATTAGCTTCACTGCGCATGATGATGACGATGGGGGGGTGGGTTGTAGCAATGCGGGATGTCCGGGCGGGTGACAGGGGCAGTCAGATGGGATTGCGACCTACCAAAGAAGACCTGAGAAGAGCGGCGAAGAGGGCTTGAACATCATCTCTGCGATTGACACCGAATACAGTCACAGAAAGAGGGACGAAGGGAACGAAGGAGTGGGAGGCAAGCTATCAATCACAAGGAGCGGAAAGCCGAGTTGGCGGACGAAAATCCCGTCGAGGAGGTTTGGGGAGGTCCGTGCACGGCGAACCTCCGCGGGCCAACAATTGATTTCCTTCCCCGAATTTCTGCGAGGCCAATGAAGATGCCACCTGCTTTCACGCCGTCGATCCGGGGTTGTTCCCCCCTCCTTTTCTCCTCACTTTCTGTCTGCCGCTACGCTGCATTTATATTGCTTGCCCTTCTCCCTGTTACTGCTTGGATGGATCTCGGTTAGAGCGGGCTGAGTGAACAATGTCGCGCTCTACGGACTCTGGCGGCGCAACGGCCGATGCGCCCTCGCTTCCCTGGAGGGCATTGTCCTCCACCACCATCTTTGGGGTTGCAGCATTATGCCGCTCATTTCTGTACTTCTGCAGTCGGCCACAGGCGAATGGATTGGATCAATTTCTCGAGCTGCTCGACTCGAGGAGTGATCCCTCGCAAAGAACGAGAGGCTTGCTCACAGGTATGCTGTCTAGTCTTTTCCCCTCTAAGATCACTGTACCTGAAAGATTATATATCGGCTAATTGTTCTGGCTTATCAGTTTCGAACCATACCAGCGTGTACGTGCCTACATTGCGTCTCGAAAGCTGAGGCGACCCGTTCAACTCCGACGTCAGAGAACGCTGACCATGGCCGCTTTAACTGAGCAGGATGGATGATCCGATCATGTGGGGATTTCTACCGATGCGATATAACTTCGGACTTGCGAATTGGAATAAGCGATGGGGGTTTGGAAGCCACGACATCTGTTATCAGACTAGGTATGGCAGTCCTCTTTGCCGGGGTCCAATTCGAAATGATTTGTTGCTGACTGGCCGGACTGGTGTATAGGCCGTTAGCCCTTTTCTTCACAATGGGCCAAGTCCTGCCGACACATCGATCGGCCCATTCGCAATATGGTGGCCTCGCCCAGCCCGTCGTCACCCAGGCGATCCGACTCCTGTCGAAGGGGCCATTCCCCGCTGACCCTCATCTCGCTGTCCCCGAACGTCAATCGTGGAGTCTACAGAATGTATGCGTCGATCCGTTTTCCGACCTCCCCACAGCCTACACCACCGATGGGCATGACTCTCATCTATCGCCGTCCTCTTACGCCTGCAATTCGTATTCTTGGTTCCATATATTCCCAGAGGGAAAGATCCACCAAGCACCGAACAAGACTATGCGCTACTTCAAATGGGGTGTGGCACGACTGATCCTCGAGGCTAGCGAATGCCCGGATGTTGTGCCGATCTGGCTTGAGGGCTTCGACCAGGTTATGCATGAAAGCCGCGAATTCCCACGGTTTCTGCCTCGTGTGGGAAAGGAGGTCAGCGTTACGTTCGGACAGAAAGTGGATAGGGAGGCGGTTTTCGGGGAATACAGAAGACGTTGGCAGAAGATCAAGGCCAAGGCGGAACGCATAGCCCCCGAGACTCGCGATCTTCCCTTTGGAGTGCTAAACGACCAGCTCTTATATGACCCTGAAGCAGTTGAGCTGCGAAAGGAGGTCACTAAGAAGGTCCGGGATCTCGTCCTTGATGTCCGACGGACGAGAGGATTGTCGGACGAAGACCCGAAGGAAGGCCTAGTGGAGACATGGATACAAGAGGGCCCTAAGCGTGAGGGTAAGATGGACGATGATTCATGGGTCCGCGATATTTGACGATGTGCATTAACCGCGAAGCAAAAAACAACTGTACAATAGAACCTTGCATAGAAATAAAATATGGACACAAGCGACATCGCACGCTATTCCTTGTCTTCTCTACCGCAGCCTACCGACTAAAATAAGACTCAGCCTGGCTTTACGGCAAGTTAGCATGAATTGACCAATGACTCATTCTCACTCATAGCAAGCTATCTAGTGAACTAACAAGCTAGTTGGTTAAATCGTGGCTCAGCCTTACTAAACCGAAGGGGGCGAAAACAGCTGCGGCGAACGATAAGATGGGGAGGAGCTCCGCCGATCGGCCTCATCCCACTTCTGCCACATTGAAACCTCCCCCTTGAGTCTACTACTCTTCCTCCCATCCCTATGCCCAAAAAGCACAAGAAGACCGCCTTTGCGAAACCAGCCAGCACTGCTCACCATACCCTCGCTTCCTCCGGCCCGCGACACGACCACCATGATCGTCTTCGTTCATCCCACGCTTCGTCCTCTTCCGCGGAGCAACCCTCCGTCAACGACCTGATTCACCACCTCCGCCGCACGCAGGTCTCCAATGGACCTGAAAGCCCCTTTCGATTTGTCGCGCCTCGATCTGTACATCCCTCTTTACGGAACCTTCTCGAGCTACCGGAAACACCGCCTCCCCGCCCTCGCCCGGGGGCGCGGCGTGTCGGGGTTGTTGGCTCGCTGCGCTTGCGACGGACTGCTGGACCACCACCACCAGAGAGCTGGCTCCTGGGCAGCCGAGATGATGCAGAGGAAGAAGATGTTGATATTGCAGCCGCGGAGAAAGAAAGGGTCATCTACCGGTTAGAGCGTCTACCAGGCACGACCTTCCCTCCCAAGGGTAGTCTTGTCGAAACGGTGCTCAGATCGATGGCCACATATTGGGAATGGCATGTCGAGTATGACGGACCGTTCCTGGGAGCTCTACCAAATCACCTCAAAGTGCGCCTCCTCAGCTACATCGCTGTATATGCCAAGGATCGACCGCTGGGCGGGCTTATGCGCGGTCTGCGACCTCTATTCGAGAAAGCCCGCGCTACCGACGACCCCGAGATACATCAAGAAAGCGAGTCCGAAGTCACCCGTCTAGACCTAAGCAGCGCCATCGGTCGATGGCTAAGCTTGAAGCAGCTCTCCAGCGAGCTCCTCATCACCGAGAAGCCAAATACCGTGCAGCGCAAGCCCAAAGAATCCGTCCCCTCCTCCTGGGAAGAGGAATACGACGAAGTCGAAGAAGAGGGCAACACCATCACCCCAACAGCAAGCAATCCCACTATCCCCCACACACTATCCCCAACTCTCCGCTTCTCCAACCTCCGCTACCTCTCCCTCGCACACCCCAAACCCGGCACCGTCAACTGGAACTCTCTCATAAGCCTCCTCTCCCGCCTCTCAACCATCACCCACCTCTCCCTTGCCCACTGGCCCATACCCACCGTCACACCCAACGCGATCAACGCCCGAATCCGCCACCCCAACCACCGCTCCTTGACCTTCTCCTACGGCGGCACCGACACCTACTCCGCCAGCGAAAACAACTGGGCCGAAGCAGCAGGTCTCCTCCGGCGCCTATCCCGCGTAACCTACTGCCTGAAATGGCTCGACCTCGAAGGCTGCGGCGACTGGATCCCAGCCCTAAAATGGCAAGACAGCGAATCATCAATCTCAGCCGCGTACGCCTCCTCCGGTCCCGAATGGAACACCTCCTGGCGAGACATCGAATACATTCGTCTCGGACCAGGCTGGCTGCCCCATATCGACGACGCTGAACTCCTCCGCGAGAATAGTATCAGCCAGAGCGGCTCCTCTTCCTCGTCTTTGTCGTCGCCTACCCGATCTTTGGCTTTCTCAGCGCATGCGCCACCGCCGCATCCCGCTCTTGCGAGCCGTGTAGGAGGTGGAGGTGGAGGAGATGCCGAGTCATCATCGTCGGATCTTCCCTGGGATGTGGAGGTCGAGCGGATCAAGTATCGGAGGGGGAAGGAGCTAGAGCGGTTCCGGGAGACGGTGCAGGCTGCGAAGGAGGTGCAGCAGTGGGTTTTGAGGTTGAGGAGAGTGGGGAAGGGCAAGTGGGTGCAGTTTTCTTTTGGGTTGGAGGGAATTGAGGAGGATGGGTTGAAGAAGTTGTTTGGGAAGGAGTGGATGGGGGTTTTGCCTTGATGGGGTGGTTTTGTTCATGAGGGTATGCATATATATTGATAGTTGGTTAGAGGGTGGTACTTAGGTATGTGTGTGAGTTGCATAGTTAGGATATAGTACCTATAAGCTTAGTAGGTGATGTTAATACTGTGGGATGTAGATGTTAGGTCCTGGTATATAACCTACTGAAAGGGAATAAAGCTTATATCAGATGATGGAAAGAATCCAGCTTCGAAAGCGAAATACAAATGGCATATTCCACGATCTCATGATTTTACATGCAATTATTGGAATTGGAGTTCTATATGCACGCACTATCCCAAACCGAATATGGTGAACTTTTCCCCATGGAACCAAGAACAATATGTACATAATCCCTCATTTCATCCCACCACTGATCCCAGACACGTACAACGCCCTATTTCCGGCCCCTATTAAACGTCTTCAACGGATCAACCTTTCTAACACCCGAGGGCTTGCGGCCCTTGCCCTTGGCGCGGTTCTTATCTCTGGCCTTGCGGATGCGGTTGTCGCTATTTTTCCGGAACCCAACGAAGCCGACATCCTCGCTGGAGATGCCCTTGCGACCCTTGGACGGCATCAGGTACTCGGGGATGTGTTTCAGGTGGGGTTGGATACGTGCGGAGCGCAACTCGCCGTCGTGACGGAGCTGGCGCAGCTCGTCGGGGTTGTCTTCGAAGTGGCGCTTGAGTTTCTCGCTCTTGACCAGCTCCTGACGGATCTCGCGAGCACGGGCTTCCTGAACGGCAAGGCGTGTGATGGCGCGAAGACCGTCGGTCATCCGGTAGCGGAAGGCGTCGACTTGGCTCATCTCAAAGTGATAGGGCTTGACTTCGTGGCCATGTTTGGATTGACGTTTGACGATCTTGGCCAGGACGGCTTCGTCGTGTTTGGCGGTGGGGAAGGAGGTGGGCTTGTGCTTTCCGTACTGGTCTGCTGGAACGACGAACGAGAGCGCCATGCCCGTCTTGCCGCCACGGCCGGTTCGTCCGATGCGGTGTGTGTAGGATTTGGCGGTTGTGGGGAGGTCGAAGTTCAAAACGCAGGCCACGTTCTGGAAGTCGATACCACGAGAGATACCATAGTCCTTTTCTTTCGCGGTGAGCTTGCGGCGCTTGTCCGGGCGATTCGACTTGCTCTTGTCATCTTCGGCCTCTTCGTCGTCACTGGATCCCATGACACCAGCAGCTTCCTCCTCTTCATCAGCGTCGGCGTTCTTGGCCTTCTTCGACTTGGATCCTAGGACTTCCTGATCGTCTGCAGCGATAATGATGTCGTAAACACCCTTGTTGAATTCCTGGACGACGTGGATTCGAGAGTTCACTGGCAACTCGGAGTTGAGAACACAGCTCTTGACGCCGAACTGTTCCAGGAAAAGCTTGAGGCGGTAGCAACGGTCGATGTCTCCGACAAATATGATGACCTTGCCCTTGATGAGCTGGAGCTTGAAGATCACGTATGTCAGGAGGAATTTCTCATCCTCTGCGCATCTGGTGGGCGAAGTAGTTAGTACAGCGCTTTAATCATTTGCCGTGTACAAAGTATGCTTACTTGACAACAAATTGGCTAACACCAGCGCCCTTCTCCTCCTTATCCTCCAACTTCAGCACAACAGGGCTGCGACAGAACAGTCCCTTCAGAGTATCCACTTCCGAGGTGAGCGTAGCACTCATGAGGAAGGTCTGTACGCCACGGGGAATCGCCTTGGAAAGCGCATTGATATCTTCGTCGTATCCGTACGAAAGGACCAAGTCGGCTTCGTCGATGACCAAGTGTGTGAGGTTATCCAGCGAAAGAGAGGAGTTTCCGAGGTTGGCAATCACACGAGCGGGGGTGGAGATGACGATATCAGGGTAATCGGAGAGCATAGTGCGCTGTACGGCCTCGGAGACCTTCTGAGTGAGGTTCACAGAGCGAACATCCTTTCCGCAGAAAGCAGCGAATGTGGTGACGACGTTTTGAACCTGTTCTGCAAGCTCTCGAGTGGGGACGAGGATGAGGCCAGTAGTGGCTTTCAATGATGGGTCGGCCTAGCAGCAGAATGCGTTTAGTTTGCCTCTTGGATGTCTATTGATAATTTCCGGGGAGTACTGACAGCTTTCTTCTGAAGAATGGTCTGAAGGATAGGGAGGACATATGCGGCGGTCTTTCCGGAGCCGGTCTTTGCACGAGCTGGTATTGTTAGTATGCCTCAAATCCACCATAGATACCGGGATATACACACCAAGAATATCTTTGCCTGCGAGCGCCAGTGGAATGGCCTTCGCCTGGACGAGCGTAGGCTTGGTGAACTTCTCTTTGATCAAGGCTTGGCGCAGTCGCGGATCCAGATTGAGGCTTTCAAAGTCGGCCTCATTCGCATCGGGGGACTCCTTGGTCTCCGCAGCTTCAGGGGAGGGAACGTCATTAGCATCCAACTTGCGCTTCATTGTGGCGATATAAATTCCCGAATTTCACTGCTAGTTTGAGGCAAGGGAGTCTGGGGAAGCTGGTGAACGACTGGAAAGTTTTCCTCATTCAAGCGGGCTGGAAAATCCGTCGGGCGGTGAGATTTTCCGAGGCTCTGATTTTGGATGAACTCCACTGCGCTCCACCGATAAGCCTGTTGGCTGCTATCGCATCTCCATTCCCTCGTGCGAAGTACACTCCAGTATCTCTTGCCATTGAAGGGTCAGCAAACTGAGGTACCTTCTAGTTCTTAGCCATGTCGCTGCTCAGGTATCAGATAGCAGTCTATATCAGGCTGACCCGTCGCTCTTTCCCTCTTCCTATGGCTTCGCTCCTTCTGCGAAATGTTCCTTAGGAGATATCCACGATGTCGCTGCTAGGGCTTCCCTGCAGCTCATCGACTAACCTAGCCTGCCACTCGCGCCAGATTCTATCAATTCTATATCACTCGCATTTCCAATATGCTTCCTAGGAATATCCATCCTACCGGCTTCCCC